ATTTTACTCACTAAGGGAAAGTCCATCCAAATTCTCTGCAGCAGGATGCACGGTGACAGCCCCCAGTTGAATGGCCACAGATAACCCAGGCTGGGAAAGCCATGATTTTGCACATTAAGTGACTTTTTAAAAATATTTTTCCATTTGCAAGACAAATCTCTTCCTGTGGGAGCTGATGCTAATTTTTACACGGCTTCTGTGCATTGCAAGTAAAATGCAGTGATCCTATAAAAATATGAATCATTGCAAAGCTTTTTTTGTGAGTGGGTGTGTGACTTTGGGAGATGTAAATTATTTTTCCTATTTTTTATGAATGTATAGAGTCATTTCTAACTAAAACCAATCAACAGCTTTGAGTCTCTGAAGGGACTTGACTTGAACCCAAGCAAGGACGATTTATTTTTATACTGATGTTCCAGTGCCACTTGTCGTCGTGTTTCAATAAAACAATCCCGGTGTTTTTGTGGTGTCTGCTGCATCTGGTACTGCTCTAGAAGCAAGTGGTTCCTGGGCTGGAGCGTTAGAGGCTGCTCCTACTCCTAAAAGAGTCGGTGATGGCACTCTTGGCTTCAGAATGGCAGGCAGAGAACAAGTGACATGGTCACTGCTTTCCCAGCTTGGCACGCAGGAGGGGTGCCTGTGACAGCACCCGGGAAGCTGACATGCTGTTGTCCCCGGCTGAGTCCCTGCCTCCCATTCAGACAGTGCGCCTGGCACAATGATTTTGTTGATGTCTTCGGTGCCTGTGGTGGGCCCAGACGAGGACAGGAGATGTTGCCACTATCAGATGCCTCGCAGTCCCATAAACAAGCAACAGCTATCTTGAACTGAATGTCCCGACTCTGGCAACTCAGTAGCTCCTGGCAGGCCAGGCTGTGGCTGAGCCCTCTTCTGCTCGGGGCTCTGCATGCCCACTTAGTGTCAAATGAATGGGGACATCAATGCTGAGCAGAGGGCTGACTGCCATGGTGCGGGGGGGAGCCATTTCTATACCTTCTCCCTCTTACATTGACGTCACCGGCTGTGCCTTCCTCTCTGTAGCAGGGGACATGGGGTCCTGTATATTAATAACCTTTACAGCAGCAAGATGTTGGCTGCGTGGTTTCTTTGCTTCACCTGTGGCAGGATCAAGTGCAGTGCCTTGTGTTGTATCAGGGTTGATGGCAGTTTTGCTAAGAGGTTGTATGGGATTGTTGATAGGGCTGCTTAACCCCCTTCAGCAGGGAGTTGGGCTAAGTAACTTCTGGAGGTCCCTTCCAGCCTCACTTCTCTATGACCCAGCAAAACCCCCTGGCATGGGGAGGACATGCAGGAAGAAACAGCGTGAGGGCCTGGACGATGGTCTGTGCTGCCATTGTGTTGACCAACGCACAAGAGTGGCAAGAGTGAAAGTGGGTGTTCTCACAAGAGCAGGGCAGTCAGGACAAAGGCCTACTCAGCCCTATTAAAACTAAGGTGTCAAGGGAATTAAATGAGACTAATGTCCTTTGTGGGTTAGAAGAACAGCCTCAAATCTGCCCCCGTGCACACAGAAGAGTCGAGGTGCGCTCCTGCTCTACCAGGCTGTTGAATCGGTCCCAAAGGTTCTTTCTTTCCTTAGCGCGTCTCGTGCATTTGAGTTCTCAGTGCTGTTCACACCAAGCGTTAAGCGGAGGGAATAAAAAGTCGCCTCTCAACTCTATCAGGTTTCCCTTGCATGGCTTCTCTGCCTACCTGCGCTCTCCAGTCGGCGAGGGGGCGAGCAGATCTGGAAACAAAAGGGACGTGGCTTCAGAAAACCAGCGGCTGCTTTTGTCCATCACAGGAAGTGACAGGCTCCTGCAGCACCGTACCTCTCCGAATGAAGGGTGTCATTCAGAGCTGGATCCCGGGAGCGAGTGTTTCTCCGTGACACTGCTCTGGACGGAAGTTTCCAGCGCTACTGCTGAGACAGCCCGTGGTGTCAGGCCACGATCCACCACAGGCTTCAGGAAGGGGCTGACCCCCACCTCGGCATAAGTGTACATCTTGCAGCAAGAGCCTCCTGCCCCTCTCGTTGCAGTCTGTGCTGTTGCAGCGTATGGAGGGATGAGGGCAGGATTGTTCCTGACCTACGTCCTCCCAGCAGCATCCCATACTGGGGCAGGGTGGAGGCGGGGGCCTTGATCTTTCCCATGGGGACAGAGCCTGGGGAGAAGTCTCTCACTGCGGAGGTGGCCACGGGAGCTCGGGCTTCTCCCCAGCAGAGCCCTTGGGGGCAGGTTATTTCTGGTCTGTTATTCCCGGAGAGTGCAGAGGCACGGAGGAGAGTACAGCCTGCAGGGCAGAGCGCTCTCCAAACCTGGCCCCACTGCCCCGCTCAGGGCGAGCAAGCGTGTGCATCGCATAGCAGAGGCTTATCGGCTGGAGGGAGCCCGGCAGCGGAGCTCCACATACGCCCCTGGAGGAAACGGCTTCCAAAACAGCCATCTCCAAACTAAACGGCCTCGTTCGCCTCGGCCTTTGACACGTGGCCACGTGCAGATGGGGTCTGTGTCTCGTCATCAGCCTGCACCAGCTAGTGCCTTATGTGGAAGCTGCCTGCCGCCTGGTACTCTGACCCCCCACTTCTCCCCACGGTCACTCCTGCTTTGTCCAGCGTCCGGTTGTCCATGCCTGCTGCCCCCTGGAACCAAGGAAATGATCTCTGAGATTGCCTGGCTGATGGATAATAGCATCGTAACACATCAACGGTCCCGTAGGAGTGTCCTGGCCATCCTTGCCATGCGACCCACAGGCAGCCGGGGTCCCAGAGGGCTGGTAGAGATGGAGCCCTGTACTGCTACAGTGGCAGGAGTCCTCTCCATTAGCAACGCACAGGCGCTGGCACGCCATTACCTTTCCCGTCTTCTCCGGCATGCCAAGGAAGTGCATTATCCACAGTATAAAGAGGAAACTACCCTTTCCCTCGTACCCAGCAGTGGGTTTCCCAGTAGATCTCCTGTAGTGCTGACCTGGGCAGGGCACTCTCCTTGCCCTGGCAAGCAGCATCCTAAAGGCATGAATGAAACCAGGCTACAAGGGGGTGGGGGTGGGTTTCCGCTGGACTGGCTGCTCTGGGGGACAGAGTCTTTTGGGCAGTTGTGCAGCGCACAACAGCAGTGGGACAAGCATGCCCATACCCAGTTCACCCAGGTTGTCTCCACCAAGCTTTGGCTTCCTGCTGGGGGAAACTGAGGCACAGAGAGGGTCCTTCCTTGACTTGAATGGCCAGACCACGGCAGAGCCGGGGCTAGAGCCAACTCTCCCACTTCACCCTTGTAGGCTGTCCGCACCAGCCTGCCCAGCCCCTGTGCCACTGCTCAGAGGGCAGCTGGGGTGTATCCATCGCCCATGAAGCCCCCCAGCACAGAGGCTGCACTAGCAGCACCTGGGAAGCTGTGTGCAGCAAACCAGCCTTTCCGGGGCTGTGAACACCCCTTCACGGCCCTGTTGGCACCCTGGACTCGGTTGCACCAACTCGTGCCCCCATGCGGAGTTGGGGTCACTCAGTTTGCTTCTCAGTAGGCCTCCCCCCCCCGGGTCCTTAGCTTGTTTCAGGGAAACCACGTCTGTAAATAGCTGGGACAGGTGCAGAGCCAGCCCTCGCTGAACGCCCCGGCTCGCCCGCTCTGAGGACAGCTATTTCCATACGCAGCCCCTGGCTCCAGCCCAGCTCAGCAGCTCTCAATTCACACTGTGCAGAGAGAGGCAACCCTGAAGGCTCACCTCGGGGTCAAACCCAGCTGCGATCACCAAAGGGTTACGTCTGCAGGGATTCTCGTGAACGTGAACATGAAGTGCACCTGCCGTGGGGAGCGGAAACAACCACATCTCAGAGGATCCTAGATAAGTGGGGCTGGAAGGGACCTCTCGTGGTCTCATCTAGTCCAACCCCCTGCCTGAGGCAGGATCAGCCCTATCCAAACCACCCCATGCAAATCTATCATCTAAAACGACCGCCAACCCTGACACGCAAGACATCGCACCCGAACCTGCCATGGGGAAGGCGAGGGGGACCGCAGCAGCCAGCGTCCTGCCGTTGTAAAAGGAAGTTAATACACATGCAAGACGTCCCAGGTAGGGGCCGTGCCCCCGCTACAGAGGAAGGCAAAACCCCTGCAGCCCGTATCAATGTGACCAGGGGAGGAAATTCCTTCCTGACCCTGAGTGCAGGGGTAAGACCGTCTAGCTAGAAACCTCCAGGATTAGTCCCAGCAGGAGCACTGGCACAGCCCCGTCACTGCCCCCAGCCTGGGCTGCAGCCAGTACCCAGCGCTGCAGAAGGTGAGAAAAATCCCGACACGTGTAGCAACGGGAGGGGGAAAAAACTCCTTCGCAGCCCCGTGTGGCACCCAGCAAAGCCCAGAGGCCTGGGAAATGCTGACAGCAGAGCATCCTTTCTACCGGAGCCTGTGCACCATTGAGGCCTGGCAAAATCCCCCACCGTGTTGAGGATGCACCCAAGATCCCGCCTACAAATGGGACTGGTCAGGTCCGCGGTGGGTGTTGGGAGGGTTTCATGCCCCCGTTTAAGGCCCTACCCCTACATTGCAATCCTGGGATGAGTGGAGACAGTGCAGGGAAGTGGAAACCCAACCAACCTGGTTTTACTCCTTGTGTTTCGTATCAACCTGAAAACATTGCTAAGAAGCACTTAATGCAGCTGGATGCAGGCCTGATGAGGAAGAGGGGAGCGGTGCCTGCAGTGGAGGGGTAACTGAGGACTTGTGGAGAGGGCACCCTGCAGGCCTCTTCCCCATCCCACCTCTCAACTTAGCCCTGTCCTCGGTGAAGTCCACCCCTGGCAATGCCAGCTGCCACCCGCTATGGACATGGGGCAGGGGAACAGACCATGCAAGGTACCAGGGCTATACCAGGGCACCCATCAGGACAACCAGTCGCCAGCAGGGCTGCCCAGGAGTCCTGGGAAGACTCCCTGCAAAACAGGTGGATCTCGTGACCCGGTCTATTTTCAACCCCAGGAGGACATGGGGGCAGGCGTGTCACTGACACCATCAGCTGACACCTGCGGTCGTCCCTCGCCATCCAGCCTGGATTCCAGCCCCGGAGCTATATAGATCAGGGGCCAAGAGGCTGGGCCGGCAGAGACCAGGAGGGTTGGACGGCAGGATGGTAGAGCCTGGAGCCTGCACACGTGCCGCCTGAGGGTGCCGCGAGCCGGGCACAGGAGCAGGTAAGGTTGCCCCTGTGCTGTGGGGGGTGGCAGCCGGGCGTGGGGCCCTGTCCCTGAAGCAATGCTGTTCCCAAGGCTGCTGGGGCTGAGCCCCGCTGGTCTGCTCCTGCCAAGCTCAGGTCCGCCCAGATCTGCCTGGCAGTCCCGGAGCAGTGCAAAGACCCCCCTCGATTGCAGTGTCCCAGGGCTGGCGGAGACCTCAAGGGCCCCACTCCATGCCCCCCAGTCAAAGACAGGACTGCTATTCCCAAGTCATCCCTCCAAAGACAGCCCCTCAGGCCCGACCGATCAGCCCGATGGAAAACCCCTTCCCCTCCCCACCTCCTTTGCAGTCAGTGACTTTCTAGCTGCATCAGTGCTCGCAGGGCCCTTAGCACCCCCCTCCACTACCACTGCTCTGCGCTCTTGCTGAGAAGCGGGAGCTGTGTCTGCAGCGGGGAATTTGGTCCCAGCTTTCTCTGGCTCCTCCAGGATCCAAGTACGACAGCAGCTGTCACCAGCCCAGGGGAGGGCACTGCAGGCTGGGCACGTACAGCCCCCTGCTTGTGCACCTGTGGCTCTGCTCACGCAGGCATCCCTGCTGACTTCCACTAGCACCACAGGGAGCAGGGAAGGCCCTCCAATGCTGAGAGCACCAGCCTGCAACATGGAGAAGCCTGACTTGGGGCCCTGCTCCACTACAGATATCCTGTACGGCCTTGGGCAGGTCACTCAGCCCCCAAGCAGGCGCTCCCATGGGGCTGTGCAGACAGATGTGTGCTAAGCCTGGCACAGGGCTCAGATGCTCCATAACAGGGGCTACAGGCCTATGAGACAGTCTCAGGGTCATCCAAGGCTGTTCAGAGATGGGGTGGAGAGCCGGGGTGCCCAGAGACCTTCCCCAGAGCTTCGGGATCCTTGATCTTTGTCTGAGATAGATAAAGGTGTGAAATCACCTCTCTCCCTCTCTGCTCCTGGGAGCTAGGATCCTGTTGGTTTTTTGCAGCCTCACTTCTATCTCCAGGAGGCCCAGCTCGCTGCTGGTTCAGCCGTCACCAATTGGCCCCCTGCCTTCGCTCCCTGGCACCATGGTCGGCTTGAAGCCCACGGACGTCCCTCCATCGGCCCTTGTGAAGTTCTTCAGTGCAGGGACCGCCGCCTGCATCGCTGACCTGTGCACCTTCCCACTGGACACAGCCAAAGTCCGGCTGCAGGTAAAGGGCCCCTGTGCTCATGCTGTGGAGGGTGCCATGGTGCCCAGCACAGCATACACACAGGCAGGGAGGCTGGGGTTAAGACAAAGGAGACAAGGGGGAGGAGAGAGGCAGGGGAGGGATGGAGGTGTGAAGGGAGATGCCTGCAGCCACAGACCGGGGTGCGGGGAGGGGGAATGCAGGGCCTCTGAGCTGGCGCTGGAAGGATTCAGGCTGGGAAAGCAGGTGCACAGGCTGATTCAGAGGTGGATCAGCCCCTGGAGCTGCTCCTTCAGCGCTGGCAGTGTCTGGACACAGCCTGGCTGCTCCCCTCTGAGGATGCTGAGCACAGGGGTTGCATCGCCTGTGCTATGCACAAGGCTGAGCTAGAAGATCCCAGCAGCATCTCTGGCCTTGGCTTCCACGCAGTCCCTGGGTCCCGGTGCGGTCTCCCCACGAGGGTCAGGAGGAGCACTATGGTGCTTTGCTAGCATTGGCTCAGCCACCCCCTGTCTGCATGAGGATTTGCAGACATGGCACCTGTGCAATTCTCACTGCAAGCCACACTCTGCACAGGACTGGACGCCACCCACAATTGAAGAATAATCCATTGAAATCATGGGGCTGCGACATGCAACCCAGCTGAAGGTCCAGCCTGGTCTCCAGATGCAACCGATGTGGTACCCAGGCCTCACCTGGTCTCCTGCGCTAGGGAGAGCTTCCTCTGGATTTTCACTGGAGAGCATGTCCTATCTCTCCACCACACACTTGGCAAACATCAGAGTTGAGCCTCATGGTGCCACCCTGCCATCTCGGGCACATGCCGTCCCAGATGGTAAGGTCCCTCTGCAGCTGGATGGCATTCCTCTGCCTTCCCTGCCTGGATGCGTGCTGCTGTCGACACTAAGCAGCTGCCATGTTCCACCCCAGCAGCAGTTGCATGTCAGTAGCTGAAGTGGTTCACACAATGTATGGACTGTGCAGTGCTTCCACATGCAGCACCACCAACATCAGACCGTGACCGGAGCTTTGCCACGCATTTGCTGATCAAAAACACAGCAAAGCACCTGTGCCCAACAATTTGACCCCTTCCTGACTTGGCCCAGCTGCCACAGACTAGGCTTGCAGGCCACATGCTTTCATAGTGAGGGGGCCCCCACGGCAAGCCCCTGCATGACACCCCATCCCTTGCCTCAAGGAATAGTTACTCCTTGACTAAAGGTTGCTGCCTGGAAGTCTGGTCCAAAATCCTCCCAAGCCTGGTCACAGCACACTGATTCCCTTAGCCAGAGGCATGCCAGGGAATGATGTGGCTGCCATCGCGCCCAGCTGCCTCTCCCCCCAATCTGAAGAGCCAGGAGCCTGTTTCCAGTGGGTGCAGCCTTGGGCTCGAGTCCAGGCTGAGAGACAAGGTCCGGAGCCAGAGCAAGGGTCTGTTGTGGCTCTGCCCCCCTGTCCCTGTATGCTCATAGCTGTGTCTGTCTATCCCCAAGATCCAAGGCGAGGCCAAGCCAGTGAGGAGCATGGCGGTTGTGCAGTACAAAGGTGTCTTTGGCACCTTGGCCACCATGGTGAAGACGGAGGGTCCCAGCAGCCTGTACAACGGGCTGGTGGCCGGGCTGCAGCGTCAGATGAGCTTCGCCTCCATCCGCATCGGGCTGTACGACTCGGTCAAGCAGTTCTACTCCTCCAAGGGCTCTGACAGTGAGTACCGCACCCCAGCCTCTAGGGCTGGCAACCTCCGGCCACGGGCCCTGCTCTTAGTCAGGGGAGTGATGCCAAAGCCTCAAGACTTGGGCACCCCTCAGGGCTAAGGGACAGGCCTGAGGCCACGGGAGTCAGCATTTACCTACAGCCTCCGGGTGATGAGGTCGCACCCATTCTCAGGGCTGAACTTTGAACCCCCCATATTGTCTCACCTACCACACACTCCCAAATTAAAAACATGCCTTGTTTTTGGGAAGGCAGAATGAAGAAAAAAAGGATTTTTCCTGAGTTATGGCCACACACATCAGGGACAGAGCCAGATACTCAGCTCCCTCCCCTTCCCTTTCCTGCTCAGGCAAAAGTTACAGTGTGAACCCTTTTACAGCTGAGTTGTCAGCAGCTCTGGACTGCTCAGCCAAAAGCTGAAACTGTAGTTGCTGCTGAAAACCAGACTCTGTTGGCAGACCTAGGATGTGGTGACATAGGAGAAGAGAGACAGGAGTAGCTAAATGGTGAATTATTCCACAAAATTGATAACTCGATCAGTGGAACATCAAGACCATTAACAAGGAGAAAGGGTCGTTAATGCCTGTGGAGTGAAGATCACTTATAGATTATGATGAGCCAGGGAGTTAATTGACTTGCTCAGCATTGCCTGAATAGAAGTGCCACTGCTGCTCTTCCCTGCTAAAGACACGCACCCCGATTCTGGAAGGCTGATATTGGGAGAAAGGTGCAAGTAGATATGGTATCTGTTCAGCTCTCAAGTTCAAGGTACAACGGAGATTGCAACCCACCGTGTTATGCTCCCTGCAGGCACCGGTATCCTGACTCGGCTGCTGGCTGGCTGTACCACGGGGGCCATGGCTGTGACTTGTGCCCAGCCCACCGACGTGGTGAAGGTTCGGTTTCAGGCTCATGTGACACTGATGGACGGAAGCAAGAAGTACAACGGGACTGTGGATGCCTACAAGACCATTGCTAAGGAGGAAGGGGTCCGAGGCCTCTGGAAAGGTACCAGGGCAGGGAGCCTGTATGCAGCAAGGGGAGGGAAACCAGTGTGGCTTGACCAGAGGCAATGGTGTAGAGATAGATGGAAAGAGGCCACCTTATGTGAGCCCGGGGTCTAGCCCTTGGGGTTACACGGAGGAAGGATAAATGCAGCAGCCCCTTTACACAGAACTTGGGTCTGTCTCTGGGGTTTTGCAGACCACCTGCAGGGCAGATCTGTCTGGCTCGCAAGGGGGCATGTGACCATCTGAGCAGCAGGCCCACATGGACCCTGGTGTCCCCATCTCTGCTCCCTGGGTCTCCAATTTGGCTCTTGCTTAGGGCCAAGGACAGCTATATCCTGGGCTAGCTTTGGCCCTGATGCAAATTCGCCCAGCTAGACAGCAATGAGAGGGACTTACGTAGAGCATGACCGGTGCCGGGGCCAAGTGTGGAGAGGGCTGGGGATTTCCGCCATCCTCCGCAGCCATGCAGGACAGTTTCCCATACGGACTCCTCCTGGCATAAGCCACAGCAGATGCAGCCTGTTAGACCCCAATGAGGATCAGAGCCAAGCCCAGACCAAGTCCCAGCAAACGCAGGCATGATCCTTCTCCCCAGTGAGGCAACAGGCTGGCTGGAAAAGAAATTCCTGGTGCTTTATCCAGCCCCAGACACCACGCAGGATCTCTAAAGAGCAGGATCCTGCTACCCAAATGATCATAAACTCAAGGGTCAACGATGTTGGTGTTGCCATCATTCGGATTCAGAGTCAACACCAATCTCAGATGGGGGGTGAGTGGAAATCCCAGGCGTTGTCCCTCACGGTGACCCCATAGCGCCCGACACCACATGCAGCAAGGGGAGTGGCAGATCTGTGACCAGCCCAGTTCCACCCACCCAACGCTCTTGGTCTTTCCCCCAACAGGCACGTTACCCAACATCACCCGCAACGCCATCGTGAACTGTGGGGAGCTGGTCACCTACGACCTCATCAAGGAGGCGCTGATCAAGTACCACTTGATGACAGGTGAGGATTGCTTGGGGCTCGGAGTCAGCCGGGTCATCCCTGGTCTGGGTCACTCTCCTGATAAAAGGGCATTCACCAGAGGGGAATTGCCCGAGCCCTCCCTAACCTGCCACTGCATGTGATGGCTCAAGGACTGGACCCAGTCACCGCAAGAGGCTGCTGAGATGCTTCAGGCATCAGTGCCAGGAGGACTAGAGAGAGGCTGGTCCAGGGGCAGCTTGGTGACCCAGGAACGAGCTCTGTGCGGCCTTGGCTGATGCTACAGGCTGGACTTTCTGAGGGGTTTTGGCCCTAAAGCCACAGAAATGAGCCTAGAGGGATTTTTTTTTAGGAAATCCTCTTAGAAGCTGAGCTTCCAGCTGCTTTGGAGACCCGCAGAGATACCTCCCAACTGCTCAGGGTGCTTAATTAGTCTCTGCCTTGGATGGACAGTGCCTCGCACAGCTTTCGTAGCTGATAGCCAGTACCTCCTCATGGCCGTAGAGGCAGGTCTCCAGTGGAGCCACCCATTGCCCTAAATCCTGAGGTTTAACCCGTCTCCCTCTGTGCCCACAGACAATTTCCCTTGCCACTTTGTGGCTGCCTTCGGCGCTGGATTCTGTGCCACGGTGGTGGCTTCGCCGGTGGACGTGGTGAAGACGAGGTACATGAACTCGGCCCGCGGGCAGTACAAGAACGCCCTGAACTGCATGCTCACCATGGTGATCAAGGAAGGGCCTGCCGCCTTCTACAAGGGGTGAGTGCTGTTCTACGCCAAGGAAACAGCCTCCAGATGCATCCCTGGGGCGCTGGACGTGCTCATGCAACCCGGCTGGCAGTGGACAGGGCACTGGGCTGGGATTCGAGGTCTCCTGACTGTGACTCTCTTGGCTCCCGCAGGTTTGTGCCCTCGTTCCTGCGCCTGGGCTCCTGGAACATCGTCATGTTTGTGTCCTACGAGCAGCTGAAGCGCGCCATGGTGCTGGCCCAGGTGGCCTGGGAATCCCCATTTTAAGCCCTGGGGAGATCTCTGGGATGAGAAGACTGAGGACAGCCTGGGGCCTCCAGCAGATGCTTCTCCCCACGGCCGCACCTGTGGTGCTGGGCTTTGCTGTGGCATGTGAGGGTAGAGGGAGAGGTGCGGCACTGATGGGACCATGCCAGGGCCCTGGCTCTTGTCCTTATCAGAGCCGATGAGGTGCAGAAGCGAATGACAGGAATTGCCAAGATGCAGCCCAGCAGCCAGATGTTTGAGCAGAGAGAAAGGACTCGAGGTAGCAAAACTGGCAGTGAAGTCAGGAACAAGAGCAAAGCTTATGCTACAGCCTCTTCCGCCTGATTTCTTCAGCTTGGGTACGAGCATGGCCCTGCAAACAGGCCTCTCTGCTGTGCTGTGACAGCAGACCGAGGCCCGCCAGGAGCTACAAGGCTCCTCAAAGCCTAGAGGGAGGCTGTTGGGTGCCCAACAAAAGATTTCTTGTGAGAGCAAGTGACAACAGGACCGGGAGTGATGGAGACGGGTTAAGAACCAGGTGCCAAGAGCAGAGCACTGCAGCCAGCATCCATTGCTCTTTGAAGGCATCTCAGCAACCACTGAGATTCTGCTTGGAGTCCCATACAGACAAGCGAAAGGATGGCAGCCCTGCGATCATCCCTCCAGCCAGAACCTCCCTCCCGGTCTGGACAGCTTGGCCAAGGCCAGGAGGAGATAGACCAGATGGTCATGGAACATCTTGGAGCTCCAGATCTGGTGGAAGCTGCTGGGAGGAGCTCACAGAGAAGGTGAGGGCACGGGGCACAGTCTCTGCTGGGGAGTACGGCCTGTTGGGGCAGGGGCCAGTTGGTATTAGGGCTGCCTATGTCTTCAGAGGGAGTCGGCAGCGCATCGACAGCAGGCCTGGGTGGCAGGGAATGGGAAGGTATCACCAAGCAGAAGAAGCATTCAAACAAACCTGCAGGGATTTGGGACCTGAGATAGATGGTTAGAGGGGGTCAGGTTTCCAGGAATTGCCCATTTCCCTCAGAAAAATCCCATATTCTGCAAGTCAGGAACTTTCAGGTGTTTCTGAAAAAAGAAAAAGACAAGAAAAAGCCCTAAAAACATTTTTACAGGGGGAAAAAATCATTTCCCAGCAACTCCAGAAATAAATCGTGTAAGGAGATTCAGCATGAAAGCCAGGCCTCAGCTCCACCCAGGTCCCTTGCTGCACCCTTAGATGTGGGCGCATACCTTAGGTGAGTCCCTTGCTGCGCCCTGAGCCTTGTAAGAGAGAGCCTGTTCTTCCTCATCTTCCCAGGGGCACAGGGAAGCTCATGTCACAGGGGTCCCACTAAAACACAGGGAGGATGCGTCTGAACGGGTGCTGCGAGAGCGGGATCACCAGGGAAGTCAATAGGACGCTTCTTGATGCTCCTCCCCAACAAGGCAATGCTGAAGAAGGCTGGCGCATCCCCCTGATGTGGCCAAGGGGGCCTGTGGGATCCCCGCCATGGGTGAGAGCTTGGTCTGTATACACACACCAGCTTTGCTCAGGTCTAGAGTGAGGAACAAATCCAGCTTGTAGCGAAAGCCCCAACATTAGCAGTGTCAGTGGCTGAGACCTCTTGCCAGCATTGCTTATGCCATCTGGGGAGTGGGTAGAAGCCCTGGTGGTGAAGGGAGTCTTAGCTTTGGACTGCTCCAAGTTTCCTTAGCACCACACATGGCCTCCGTGGCTGGAGTCACCTCCATCTCTGTCTCCCCTCCACAGGGCTGGCATGTCGGCAGCTGGGGAGAACCAGCGTCCCAGAGCTGCGCGGAGAAGGAAGGACGACAGGATCGCTCAGGGAAGAGGAGCCAGGAGCACGTGTCTGCACCAGCTTTGCAGCCATTGCTAATAAAGGGATTCATGCTGTCCCCCGCAGAGGGGTCACGCTGCACATCGTGTCTTTCATGTCCTGCCTTCCTCCTGCACCATCCATGTCCCGTGTGCTGCCGCGTTTCGAGCCCTTGCCAAGTCTCAGGAGGTAGTTCCCTCTGGCTGCCTGTCCAGCCTGGCCTGTCTCCTAGGGGAGAGCTGTCAGAAGCAGCAGGACCAGCTCTCCCCATGGGAGAGCACCGAGGGTCAGTCTGCTCCCTGCTCCATCCCTGCAGCTGGGGGAGGGGGTGCAGCACCCTTGGAGGGGCAGAAGGGAAGGTGGGGAGGGGGGGATCAGAACAGATTTGGGACTGGGAGATAGATGGATGGATGTTGAGGAGGGCCCAGGATGAAGGCACTGGGATAATGGCACTGGGGAGATGCTGGAGGATCCACACCAGCAAACAGTGCCCTTAATCTGTACAGCAGGGAGGGCTGGCCACACACAAGCACACGTCTGCATGCACTTACACGCGTGCACACACGCACGCATGTACAGGCCCATCCATGAGGTGGGCAGGGGGCAGTTGAACAATCCAAGGACAGACCAAAACCCACAGCACGGTCCTCGCTGCCAGCTGGTAACAGCCACCACAGGAAGCAGTTCCAAGCCATCATAGGACCTGGAGATAAGTCACAGGCGCACCACAGCAACGCCCGCTGGGGAGAGCCCGGCAGCAGATCCATTAGCATTTAATCCAGATGGACGGTGGTATGAGAGCTTTACCCCACCGCCACGCCCGAGTCGCCATCGGTCCCCCTTCTGCTGGGCTGTGAGGTCCTAGGACACATCGCGTCATGCCATTAGGAGAACCCCGGAGCAGCTAAGAGCTGGGGGTGGTCTCTGTGAACTGATGCTCTAGATGGCATCTTCCAAATGCCCCGTGGGGAGCAGTTTGGTTTGCAGCTAAACAAAGTCGGAGACCTGGGCTCTATTCCCTGGTAGGGAGCTCCATGTGACTGGCAATGCCTCAAATCCCCGGGTCCTTCCCTTCCTCCGTTTCTCAGAGGTTGCTGCATCACATTAGGTGCTTTTGCAGCCCCCTTCTCCATTGCTCTTTGCTGTGGGAGGTTCACTGAGTAGTCTGCATTGCACTGGAAAACTCAATGCTACCCCAGCTTCACTCCCCTCCATTACAGTGTCCATCCTGGTTAAGTGCAAAGGGAGATGCAAGGATATCAGAGTTTCCAGGCAGCTGGTTTTATAGCACCAAACTTTATCTATGGTCCACTATTCCTCGCTCTGTTGCTAGGATCCTTCCAGCATAACTACTGGGACCCATTGCCTTTTGTGGCTGGGTGATAAAGACTGGAACAACAGCACAGAGGTAAAGTCGTCCCCCATTCATCTTGCCGGGCTGTTCATTTCAAGGCCCTGAACTGTCCAAACCTCTGAGAATCGGCATCGTTCACCAAAAGGTCTCTCATGAGGTTCAACAAGGACACATGCAAAGTCCTGCTTTTCGGACGGAGCAATCCCCTGCACCAGTGCAGGCTGGGGGGTGACTGGCTGGGCAGCAGCTCAGCAGAAAAGGACCTGGGCGGGGGGACAGCGTGCAATCATGTGAGTATGAGCCAGCAGTGTGCCCTTGCTGCCAAGAAGGCTAACAGCTATTGGACTGCATTGGCAGGAGCGTTGCAAGCAGGGCAAGGGAAGTGATTCTTCCTCTCTGTTCAGCGCTGGGGAGGACACATCTGGAGTCCTGTGTCCAGCTGTGGGCCCCCCACTGCAGAAAGGATGTGGACAAGTTGGAGAGAGTCCAGTGGAGGGCGACAAAAATGGTCGGGGGCTGGGGGACATGACGTGTGAGGACGCAGGGCAGCCCTAGGCTGGAAAACAGCTCGCTTAGTCCGGAGCAAGTGGGCATTTGTCAGCCCCAACTTCGCAGTCCTTTGGCCAGGCACATCCTAGGCCCAGAGCAGCCGTTTTTGTACATGTGCACAGCTGCATAGTTTGCTGATTTGGGGTCCTTAAGAGATTATGAAATGTTCACACCCAGGGAGTTGGGGGGGAAGGCAGTTGTGACCCTCAAACTGGTTCAAGAATCACTTTCTAAAGGGCTTGCACTGGTTTAAACAGACCAAGTTAGAACCAGTTCGGTTCAATCATGGTTTGTTTGCACAAATGGGACAGAGTTTGGGTGGGATTGAGGCCATACCCATGGAATTGGTGCCCGATCAATGAAAGAAATTAGACACATATAAATCAGCAGGACTGGATGAACTCCACCCAAGAGTGCCGCAAGAGTTGATCAAAGTGATCGCAGAGCCCCTGGCAAAGGTCTTACAAAAATCATGGGCCTCTGGAGAAATCCCAGAGGCCTGGAAGAGGGCGGATGTTGTGCCCGTCTTCAAGAAGGGGAAGCCTGAGGACCTGGGAAACTACTGGCCAATTAGCTTAACTTCTATTGGAGGGAAAACCCTAGAAACAGTCATCGCAGAGGCTATCTGTGACCGCCTTGCAGAAGGCATGATGCTGAACGACAGCCAGCATGGCTTCGTGGCGGGCAGGTCTTGTCTGGCCAACCTCCTTTCTTTCTCTGGTCGCGTACCGCGTCACCTGGATGAGAGAAAGGCGGTGGACATCATCTACCGCGACTTGACCTGGTATCCCACAAGGGACGAATCGGAAACCTGGAAGATATCGGGCTCGACTGTGGCACCGTCAACACGACGGCGTCCAGCGGGTGCAAACCTGGTTGCAGAGCACCCCCAGCCGGGCATGGCTAACCCGACCAGCGCTGCAGACGAAAGGGGTCTGGGGGTAACACGGAGCCCCGTGCATCTCCAGCGCAACCAGAGCAGTGCTTCTCCCGCTTGCCTTGACATCGCTGCGGCCAGGGCTGGAGCAGCGCGTCCCCCGCCCGCGTCAAGGGCGGGCCGCGGTGCGCGGCGCCCCGCCCCGTCCCGCCCGTATAAACGCGCCGCGAAGCGGAGCCGGCTCCAGCTGCTCCGGCCCCGCTGCTC